GCAGCCCCCTAGCCGCGGGATCCGGGCGCGCACACGGCCGCGGTCCGGCGGGGGCGACCTCGGGCCTCTGGTCTGTGTCGACGCCCCAGGGTTTCCAGCGCCCCCGCCCGCCCGCCCCGACTCCATTATTTCCAGCACCAACGCTCCTGGTTCCAGGCCAAGGCCCACCCCGGCAGCGCCAGGAGAGAAACCGGCCCAAGGAGCGGTCCCGCCGCTGCGGCCTCGAGGGCCTACGAGGCCAGGAGGGCACGCCCCTCCGCAGAGGCGGAAGCTCTGGCCCGGGCGTCTCGTGCACCCAAATCTAACGGGCCCTTCTGCCTCTAAGTCTCTTCCTCTCCCACTCACGCAGGCACAACCCACTCCACAAACAGAGAGGAGAGTTCTTTACACGAGTCGTGTGAATTACGTGATGTTCACATTCAAATGACTTGAAATTCATTGTCCCCTTGAACAATGGTGACAAGGTCTGAGCCGGGAGGAGCTGGAGGAGACCAGAGCCGTCCAGGGCAGCCTTGGCGTCTCTGCTCGCCAAGTCTTCAGGGCCTTGGCAGCTTCGGGGATCTCTCCAGAAAGGCTGCCCGGTCGGGAGACGCTTCCCCAGGTGGCGCGATGTCAGGAAAGCCCCTTGGCCCTGCCCTGGCTGAAATATCTATCACCCTGCCTTTGATCACCAGAGATTCCTGGAGGTTTATCTAGCTCCAGTTTTAGAAGGCTCGTGCTGTCAGGTGTCAGCCACTCACACCCCCGTGTGACTGACTCAGAGTGGCTGGCTTTTCCCATCTTCAAAGTTAGCGGGTTCTACGGAAATTGATATCTAGATAGGAAAGCTCGGAAACTGGGAGGGAACGAACGGTTTTGGAGTCGGACCCAACGCCGGAGAACCGCATACAAGACTGCGGGAGTTGTCCGAGGAAGGCCAGGACGGGGAGGAGGCCAGCGATTCCGCATCCCTCAGAAGATGTGGCCGGCGCACCCCGAGCCAGGCGCCGCCGAGGTTTAGGAAAGAAACCTAGCTAAAACCCAGACGACTGCCCTAGCCACGCCGGCGCCCTGCCACGCGAGCAGCGGGCTCTTCGGGACTCTTCCGTCCTGGGGGAAACCCAGCAGAGGCTCGGCCGGGGCGAGCGCGCCCGGGACTGGGTCCGTTTTTCTTTCGTCCCCCGAAAGCCGTGGCGTCCGCAGGCGAGGGCCCGGGCCCTCCCGGGCAGCGCTGCTCAAGGAAGGCCCGGGCTGCCGAGGGGAAAAGTCCAGGGCTCCCTGGGGGCGGGCCGCGCAGAGGGGCCGGCGGAGGCTCCCCGCGCCCCGCGCGCCGACGGCGCCAAGAGTCCGTCGAGGGCAACTTGGCAGCCCCGGGCCGCCGCGCGCGGGAGGAGCGGCCGCTCTCCACTCCGGGCGGGCGGGGCGCTCCTCTCCCTCCAGGTTTGCTTTAATGATTTTCTTGAAAGAAAGAGACAGTTGTGAGCAAACAGGTTTGACAGGGACTGCTTCCCCCCACGCCCCCCAGGGGATTTCTTTTTGTCTGCGCCTGACTTCAAAGGCAGTAATCGGTTCCCGTCGGCGGCGTGACAAGCAGGATTT